GGAGGGAGGAGGCAGGGAGAAAAAAAAATGTCAGGACGGCACTAGTACCTTGCTTCTGGAGTCTCCTAAGAGCTGTATGCAGGAAAATATTGAAGGGTGGGAAAAAGCATAAAGAATTACGTCAGAAGCTTCTGCAGGCATTTTTCTTGCAACAAAAATATATAAGCAAATAACTTTTAGCAAATTAAAAATACAAATTCAGCCAATCTCTTTTCAAGAGATATAAAATAAAATGTGGCATCAACTTGTGCGTTCTTCTGTTCTCATCTTCCTACAGCCAAGGCTTTCGGAGAATATAAGCACACAAGTAATGTGCATTTAGAATTCCGGCTTTCTAAAGACAACACTATCATGTTATGCCAGAAATGGGCAATATTTGGGGGCTGGGGGAGTACTTAGTATTCTTGAGGATAAAGTAAACGGTGGGCAGGGTTAGGATGGATCTATGTATTGTATACAGGTAGAGCTGGGACTTTCCTTTTCTCCCCACAGTTTTGTGTTTGTGTACCCTAACCCTAACCCTATTTTAGGGCTTGCACCACAGCCTGCATATGTTTCTGGCCTCAAAACACCAAGAAACTGTCCTGCTAGTTTTCAGCAATCACAATGCCTAAATTGATAAGGAAGGTACTTTGTCAGCTATAGGTTGTCTCTGCCTCATGTCATGCTGATGTCTGTATAATACTCTCAGGAGAAAGAGATCGCACATAGTTACCATTTATTGACTAGGTGCCATCTGAGGACAGTTTATTAGATACCAACTCCCAAGAGTAGAAATATTCCCTCTCACCTCCTGGAACTAAACTCCAATTAAGTAAAGAGCTCTTTTGTCACTGAAGATGATCAAATACACTATGAGGTTCAAGAGTTCAGCCCTTCTTATAGACAGTTGTAGCTTATTCTGTCCGCTACTGAATAATTTCCCTTCATCTCAAAGTTTATCTGGTTTCCCTGTCAATAGATCTTTCTCTGCAATGATCTAGGAATAAAAGAGTTCCTCCTTGGACCAGGCTCAGGTGATCTCTTTTTACAGGCACAACAATCAACATTTGCCAGGACACAGAACGTGACCTGCAGGGACTTGGTTTACATCTTTTTTATGGAAATAAAGCTTTTATTGTGAAACAAAGTATCTTGAATCCAAAGATGGAGAACAGAGGAGAAGGGAGAGAAACACTCCTTTTCAGGCTATTGGATAGAGTATCTATCCAAGAAGTGAAGAAGAGAAACAGGCAAAGGACAGCTAAAGAAATTTAAAGAACTGGTCATCATCAGCAACAACACAGAGCCAAAAGGAGCTAGGTTTTGAAAAGATAGAGCTGAACAAATTTTTACATGTCACATTTTTATGAACTTGTGAATTTTTAAGAGGATATCTAAAAAAAAAAAAAGTAACAAAACATATATATTATGTGAACTCCCTCAACAAGGAATACTAGCACACTCAGTTTGCCTCTCTGTAAGTGAAATTAACCAAATACGCTCATCACACTCAATACAGTTTAATTAAAATAAGGCACATACTACAAATTAGAATGACGACAGTGTCGTTTAAATAGTTCTGATGCAATAGAAAAGCTAGAGCATAGTAGCAAAGCTTGTAGTGTCTGTCCCCTTTTGGAACCTCTTAGAGTGCAATTGCTGAAAATGGACAGTTAGGTTTTCTACAATTCTGAAATGGAAAACACATAAACACTGTAGTGAAATTCCTAAAATAGACATGATTCTTACTATAGGAGGGACTATCTGATTGGACGCATGCTATAATTCAGGGTCAAAAGTTCAGTTCTCCATCCTAAAGTATTCGCTATCATCTAAGATTATATTGAAATTTGTTGTTGTTATTTAAATTTATATCTACAAGGAGCAAAAGGAAAATATTTTATTGAACCAATGGATGACTTCATAGTTATCAGTAGGTAGAAAAGGGAGTCAGAGAAACTTCAAGTTACAGGAGCTAGAATTATACCCTTCCTTCAAGTCATAAACATGTATCAGGTAAAGGATGTTTTTTCTTTGAAGTTTATGGCTAAAGATAAACCAGATGAAAGCCGCATTTACCAACAGTGATGGCAGCGGACCTTCAGTTCTTCCAGACCCCATTTCCAACTTATCTAAGTTCAAATCACTTGAATCAGAGTATCAACAATCAGCTCCCCAATCTACCATCTCATTCCCAAAATTCTACAGGTATTTCTATGGCAGTTTTCATGGAAAGAACTGGAGTTGTAGCTGTTCAGAATATTGCTTAGCATTACTATTAATGAGATTTTCATTACTATGTAATCTATGTAACTATACTAATCATATATTCCTGGGCAGGTTTTCCTTATATTTAATAAAATCCTGGGTATCATCCTATAATTAAGAGAATTTTATCCAATAAACCTCATTTTATCAAATCAGAGACTTTTTCTCCTCCAGAATAAACATCCATCAGCCAGGCTCTAATTTTAATGTTTCATTATATTTCAGTTCTTAGTCTGCAAATCCATTACGTCTTAGATCTTTATGGATATTACTAACAGAAAAAATCATACAATCTTGGGTTCAGCAGAAAACCAAAAGAGAAAGTTCAAATTGTGTTTATTTTCTGCTATCAAATACTGACAAAAAATGTGCATGTAAAAGTCCAGGTTCATACAGTATTTATAGATCATCCAGTGGGTGAAAATGCAGGTTCCAACTGTACTGTGTTACAAATAAAAATATTTAGAGAGACGGTACACGCTATTTGTATGTTCTCTTGTCACTAGTAATCTGTAACGCTCAGAGCTTTCCAAATTCTATCTACGACTCTGGATCTCCAGCAATCGGGAGTAACAGCAAAATGTCAAAAATAGCTTTCAGTAAATATGATCTTAACAACCTGGTCCACAGAATCACTTGCAATCAGAGATGCAGTGATGCTACCTCTTGATGGAAAGAAAAAGTAAATGTGAATATTCACCAGTGCATTTTTTTTTTTTTGCTTTTAAGCAGACTATTAGTTTCAAGAGTGCAAGAGAATTTGCAAATATTAAAACACATACACTTAGAATTAATAAAGTTGAAGTCCAGGAACATGTTTTAGCTCACATTCTTTCTATGCACAAGTCTCTTTGTTACCTTAACCTTTCTTATATTCAATAGAATTTCAGAACTGAAAAGGAGTGGGTAGGTGGAATTGTGTTGCTTTTACTGCTACACAACTAAGAATCAGAAATGTGGGTGATTATTGCAGATCATCCAAAGATCAACCAACAGCTGCAGATCTACCTTCCAACCCATATTATTATTATTATTATTATTATTATTATTATTATTATTATTATTATTATTAATAATAA